TTTGCTAACTGAATTTAAAACCGTTTTAAGCGACGCGTCGCGACGTACCTACACTTAATTAAATTGTCGCGGCATGTGCGATCAAAAAGGCGCAAAACCGCAATCGCAGCCTTCTTGATGCAATTAGTTTCCTTGCAGCAGAACGTTTTGGCGGTTAGGTTATGGTTATTAAGCGTACATCCCAGATAAAGCCTTGACCCGATTATCACCCACGTCAATTCGAAACCAGGATTTACGTGTGTGTTTGACAGGAAAAGGAAAACCACAGTAACTCCACGCAGGGAAGAAATCATTTTTAATACTTAATATCTCGTTTTTTAGACATAATATAATAAATATAAAATAGCTATTATCTACCATTTGATATTTTTTCTAAACCCACCTTTAAAACGCTCATTATCGTACAAGTTGTGGCTTTGTGGCGGTTTAGTCGCGGGCTGAAGTTAGCAACAGGTTTTTAGACCTTTTGATTTCGCCGGCAGTAAACAAGATTTTAATGATTAACCATTAACCCACCGTGGAGTGCCCATAAAACATTATCTTCACTTTAACTATACAAAAACTGCTTTTATATCGGATTTAATCGGTGGTTAGTCCATTTCCAAGGGATACCTTTCGATTTACACATAAAAATTTGACATTTTGACTCGCCGCCGGTAATACATAAGTTAATATGTTTACTATATTGTTTTATAGATGTCGCTTTATACAAATATTTAATTTAAATCATTTTTAGATAATAATAATTTGTCGTAGAAAAAGTATAGTTTATAAACTTTTCTAGACACTCATTTAATTAAACCCTCAAACTTAATAAAAATTATACTATTATTATTTTGTAAAAAATATTGCATTAAATAAAATAAACCAAATGTTTAAACTTAAAATTCAACTCTTCACTGTTTCTGTATACAAGCATACGAGGTGTGTTCAGAAAATATCGGGAATTTTCGTTTTTTGAACCAAATATTTATTTATTCGTCTACATTAATGTTGTCGCCTTCAAAATAGTCCCCATTGGATATTATGCACATTTGCCAGCTCTTCTTCCAATACTCGAAACACTTCTAAAACTCGATCTTTGGGATAGCCTTTAGTTCTTTCAGCGATGCGCTTTTAATGTTATCTATGCTTGCATAACGACGGCCCTTTAAGGTTTTTTTTATTTTTGGGGAAAGGAAAAAGTCAGACGGAGGCATGTCTGGCGAATATGGAGGCTGGGGCATCATTACAGTATTATTTTTGGCCAAAAATGTTGTTCAAAATTTAACAATTTTAGAACAAATTTTGCTGCCACGCGTTTCATACCCAAAACATTCGAAAAAATTTCATGGGATGAGCCAATCGATATACCAACATCATCAGCGACTTCTCTGATGGTTTACAACTATTTCTTCCACTTTTTCCATGTTTTTATCGGTTGTTAATGTGCTTGTGCGTTCGGGGCGTTCGTCATCTTCAACGTCTTCACGGCCATCTTGGAAACTCTTATACCACTTGTAAACTCTTGTTTTACTTATAGCAGACTCACTATAGGCCTTTGTTAACATTTCACAGAATTTATTTAATTTTTTAAGCAAAATTGGATACAAATTCTTTGATCCATTTCTTTTAACGAACGAAAAATCGCCGAGCTCATAAAACACGTCTAACCTTAGCGGCTGCCACAGACAAAGTAAACAATGAAAACAGCTAAAGTTTTTATCATACTTCGGGGGCATGTATACCAACATAATAAAGAAAATTTTATGACAACCGGACCCTCCGAACCCGCGAAATTTAACAATTCCCGTTATTTTCTTAACACACCTCGTATATGCATTACGAAGGTAAATGGAATGGAAACTGGACAAAAATCAACGATATATCGTTTTGGAAAAATGTACCAGATATAAAAGACACACTGAGTGTAATATTTAAGAGATTTGTTTGTGATTGACACTTAATTTTATCCAGAGAGCCTTTTAAGTTTATCATAAGGATAAAATACATAGACGCCGTATTACAAGTGGATTCAATACAATTGGATTTAGCTATGGATAAACGTTGAAGATATTGAACTGTGTGACGTAAAGGTTTTTAAAAATGTATTGTTTTTTTAAAACTAGTTGCATACCATACTTTTTCTATGACATATACTTATTATTATCTAAAAATGATTTAAATTAAGAATTTGTATAGAGTGACATCTATAAAACAATAGAGTAAACCACTTGTGAATCCCTTGAAAATAGATATGCGAACGAAGATATTGCGCTTACATAAAGTAATGCGCAGTTGTTATAGTAAAATTTGTTCATTTTACTATGGCATATTTGTCTTTTTTAAATTACTATCGTTGTAATTCAAATTAATTTTATTTTAGTTAGAAACTCTTTGTTAATAGCTTACGTTAAGAACAATAACAAAAATATTTTATTGCTATTAAAAGACTCTTTTAATATTTACTATTGTTTTGCAATGGTAACAAAATTTTTGTTATTTCCCTTAAAAAGAGGGGGAAAGGTCCAGCGCTCTCCTTGGCGAACATAACTTTATAATCCAGTCTGTGATATAATCTTATTGATTTCACTTGTGCGAGTGAAGTGTGGTAAAATCTAGCATGATAAAAATATCAAAAAAATCACTAAGAAAATTAAAATTTCAACGTTTTCTAAAAGAAATATTTAAGGTATATTCTATAGACGAAGCAGACTTGTTTAAAAGTGAGTTCATATTTTTTTATTTTGTACATCATATTATATGAGTTAATTTTTTGTAATAATAAATAATTTGTTTTAATACCTTGCAAATATTTAAAAAATAAGCTACCCAACAGTAGGTTGAAAATGTGACCATTGTTACAATGAAAATAGTTTATTGAATTAACAATTAATTTGTTGTTAAATTTACATAAATTTTATTAATATTATAAATATTGAATATTTTAAACGAAAAGGGATTTGTAAAATTTACAACATTTCTATGAATAATACCATTAGGGTTTCATTAATACTTCAAAACGTTTTTGTAAATGGTATATAACTGTTTTAAATTTACTGTATAATGAATTAATTAATTAATTATAATTAATGCAAATGCTATTACTGAAAGCAGCGTTAGTAGATAAATAATTTTTATAAAAATGATCTTTTTGCCGTAACAAAAGCAATTGTTGGGCGAATAGGGATCTTTACTTTATTAAGACAAACTACTGCTGTCTCTCTGAATTTTCCTTCAATTTTACTAACCGTAGCTCGAGTTGGATAATTTGCATTACATAAATTGCAAACATACGAGTTGTGTTCAGAAAATAACGGGAATTGTTAAATTTGGGTTGTCTTTATTATGTTGGTATACATGCCCCCGAAGTATGATAAAATCTTTAGCTGTTTTCATTGTTTACTTTGTCTGTGGCAGCCGCTAAGGTTAGACGTGTTTTATGAGCTCGGCGATTTTTCGTTCGTGGATGGATCAAAGAATTTCTATCCAATTTTGCTTAAAAAATTAAATAAATTCTGTGAAATGTTAACAAAGGCCTATAGTTAGTCTGCTTTAAGTAAAACAAGAGTTTACAAGTGGTATAAGAGTTTTCAAGATGGCCGTGAAGACGTTGAAGATGACGAACGCCCCTAACGCACAAGCACATTAACAAACGATAAAAACATGGAAAAAGTGGAAGAAATGGTTATAAACCATCAGAGAAGTTGCTGATGATGTTGGTATATCGATTGGCTCATCCCATGAAATTTTTTCGAATGTTTTGGGTATGAAACGCGTGGCAGCAAAATTTGTTACAAAATTGTTAAATTTTGAACAAAATTTTTGGCCAAAAACAATACTGTAATGATGCCCCAGCCTCCATATTCGCCAGACATGCCTCTGTCTGACTTTTTCCTATTCCCAAAAATAAAGAGAACCTTAAAGGGCCGTCGTTTTGCAAAGGCTAGATGACATTAAAAGCGCATCGCTGAAAGAACTAAAGGCTATCTCAAAGATCGAGTTTTAGAAGTGTTTCGAGAATTGTAAGAAGAGCTGGCACATGTGCATAATATCCAATGGGGACTATTTTGAAGGCGACAACATTAATGTAGACAAATAAATAAATATTTGTTTCAAAAAACGAAAATTCCCGATATTTTCTGAACACACCTCGTATAGAGATGGCAATGTAAGAACTTTTTAAACAGCGTTTTGCATGAATATCTTTGATCTTTGTTGTCTATTAGTCTTAAGATCTTTTTTTGCATAATAAAATTAATTAATTTAATTAACAAATTGTGGGAAATGTTATTTGTACAAATCTTGTTTGAAAAGTTTTTTCTGCGTTTACCATTAGTCCATTATTCTTGCACCACATATTAAAACTTTCAGAACTCAATGTAGCTTGACTGGCCAACTCGCAAATTTCCTTATTTCTTACTATAATGTTTGTATCATCTGCGTACAATACTACTCTGTTAGATTTATTTGACAGTGTCATGTCATTATCAAATCTTATAAAAAATAACGGCCCCAAAATTGAGCCTTGGGGTACTCCTATGAGACTGTTTTTCGTTCAGAGAAGTGACCTTGTATTGACACAGTTTGATATCTATTTTTAAGATAACTTTTTGTCCAATTGTATGAATTCCCACGTACTCCAATACATTCTAATTTTTTTAGTAATAATTCTTGGTCCACAGTATCAAAAGCAACATGTTCCTTACTATTAAGGGAGTTGTAGGTATATAAAAGATATTGCATCAGATATTGCAGAACTGGTACTTTTATTTTTTCTAAACCCATTTTGATTATTTGCTAGCAGATTATTACCTCCTAAATAGTCTTGTAAGCGCACATAACACTGTTTATTGGAAAACGGATAAAAACTCAATGTTGATATTTTTTAATATTTTCCGGCTTTATTCTCAAAAACACGCGTTTGACAGCTGACAGTGGCGCTACTAGCGATACTTCTTTAGCGTATATAACCTTCTTATTCTATGCCTTATTTAAAAGTTTATTATTTTTTCGTTTAGGATATTTGGAGCAGGGACTTTTGGTGACGGACGCCCGGAAGCTGCGGCAGCACTACCTGCAAGCGAAAACATGGCGGACGGACATCCTGTCGGTGCTGCCGACCGACCTGGCCTACATATGGTGGGCGCCGTACAACGGCTGGGAAGCGAACCCAGCCCGCGTGCCCTGTCCGGTGATAGTGCGTCTGAACAGACTGATCAAGATACCCAGGCTGCTCGAGTGGTTCGAACGCACGGAGACCGACACGAACTACCCGAACGTGTTTCGCATTTGCAAGGTGGTGCTCGCCATTCTGGTGCTGATCCACTGGAACGCGTGTCTGTATTTCGCGATAAGTTACGCTATCGGGTTCGAGTCGGACAACTGGGTTTTCAGGCCGAAGAACTCCACTTTGGCCAGACAGTACATTTACAGCTTCTATTGGTCCACTCTGACGTTGACGACGATTGGGGAGACCCCAGTGCCTGAGAATGACGTGGAGTATCTTTTTGTGGTTGCCGACTTTTTGGCTGGGGTGCTAATATTTGCTACTATTGTAGGTGAGTAGCTAAGAAGTAAGCAGAAACGTTGATTTATTTATATCAACTGATTAAGCATATCAGTGGATATAGGTTTTTGCACGACATGGCTACGTAGTAATTTTATTTAAAAACTGTTTTTTTATAAAATAAATTGGGTAATTATCTTTCAACGTTTATATTTCCCCTAAAAAAGTCAATATCTATACATTGACATTTTAAATTAAACAATTAAAATGCCATCAAGATTTATATGACATTTGTGACATTTGCCATAGAAAATAACATGGAGCCTACACAAGGAGCCCGAACTTCATGTAAACAAGAATCTTCCTAAGATAAGAGGGCGCTGGTGTACTACCGGCCCAAAACAGTAGAGGGATATAACCAGAGATGGCGCCACTACCTATCACTTTTTGTGCAAATAATTGAGGTTATGCAACTGTCAGTTTATCGCTTTCTGAAAACAATGTACCCATGTACCTGGTTTTGTGTATAAAGGTCTTAATTTACAATAAATTTATATCAAATTAACATTGGAATTCATGTTGGACATGTAGAGCATAGTACAGTTTTTTTCTATAAAAGAATGTCGTGTGGTGTAAAACTAACAGAATATTAAATCCATGGTATTTATTTTTAGTTTTATAGGTAGATGGCTTAAATAAAAAATAAAAGTTCAATATAAACAAATAAAGGTGTAAATTATTAAATAGCGGTGTATTTCTAACCTGGAAATCTAATTTTGCTTCTCCAGAGTCGTAAAATCACTTCACAGATTATAAAGAATCACTTATATTTCACAACTAAAACCTATTCATTAGCATCTACCTACCAGGTACAGCCATAAATAACAAAACGATTCGTACGTCAAAACATTATTGCAAATCAATTGTCAAAACTTACTTGCTTACTTCACATGTATTTTCGATACTATTTTCACGTCATACGGACGCATCGACAATCAGCGCCGCTGGTGGTGAAAAAAAAGACTTAATTTGTGCAATTTAGTGGACAGGTTTTATCAATTTTCCCTATTAAGTTCGGGCTCCTTGTGTAGGCTCCATGGAAAATAATTTCGCTAATATAAGTCATGGTTTACTAGATTTGTTTTTTGGCCAATAAAATCATCTAAAATATAAATTGTTTGAAAAAATTTATATCAGCCGTAACATTCTGACTTTAAAATTCTTTCAATGTCATTGATGAAAACATTAAATAACAATGGACCAAAGTGAGAGCCTTGTGGTACACCTATTAAACACATAATATTTACTATTTTACCAAGAAGAAGCAAAAATTATTAATTCCTAAAATATCTACAAGGAGTATGCACTTTTATGTTGAAAATAAGGTATTAAAAAAAATTCTATGGATAAATGTCAATTTATGAGAGCAAAATTCAACTTTTGGTTTCGTAGCGTTTATTGTAATTTAATGCAATTAAATGAATTTAAAACATTTTAAGGAAAGAGTTGTTTGTTGTTTATATAAATACTGAAGTTTTTTTTTAACATTAAATTTTCTGTTGTGATATCGCTGTTGTATGCTATCAGGGGTTTTGGGATGAAAGGATGATGGGAGATTTCATTTGTAAGGAAATCAGATACCGAAAACAGAAGGCAATCGAAAAACCTGAATTACACAGGCAAAAAATTGATTTTACCTCAAAAAAATTTAATGATCTTAAATTAAATAATCTTGCAAATAAAATAAAACTGGTAACCTTTGAACAAATTTACCTTCGAAGAAATTTGAGGTTAGAAAAAAAAACGAGCAATTGGCTAAATCCGACAACAGATTCGGATTCAGCGAGGGTCAATGCATATAATCATACTACAGATTTTGTGTGCCTGTATTATTTTTAATTTACAATATGTTATAATAATATACAGTGTGTTTCATTTAAAACTAAACACCCTAAATTTCCCGAAAACTGAAAGAATTTTGAAAAAACGCCGTGATGCACATAAAACCTTTTTTTGTAAAAAACTAAATTTCGAAAAAAATGGAAATGTCCACTTCTTGCATTGGCCCCTTTAATTATCAATAGATTTATTTTAAAAGTACCTATCTTATTTTCTTTATAACAGTTTAAACCTTATGCAGATAATTTAAAAATTGACATACTTTGATAATTTTTATTTATCCTTGGAAAAGAAAATTAGGTTGCATTCTCATTTTTGTCCAAAAAAACACACTTTTTTAAATATTTGAACCTATTGAACTTAAGCTAATTAACTAATTGGGTAATAAGGGTGATATTTGTCGGCGATTTATAACCTAAGATATTACCTAAATTGTAAGACTGCTTTCTTAAAGAACGAGAAACATTTTTATTTCAAAAACCTTACCGTAATTTTTTTTGTGATTTTTAAGTTTAACAGGTCAAAATACATTAGAAACAAATAGTGGCATCGATGTACATTTTTTTATTTTAATTTTTAATATAGTGCACTACATGTAATTAGTCAAATTCTCCCGAATAAGTAGAAATTAGTAGATTTAAATTTAAAAAAGTTTTGATACAGCCGTTATTATTATATCTGTCTATACATATTGTTAATAATATAATAAAGATTTGACATTCTTACTTGATGTAAAACGTAAAACCAATTAATTTGCTTACCCTCGAGCAAAAAATATTTATTGTACATTTATTGTATTGTATTTATGTATGTGATGGGGCAAATAAGCTTCACAGGTTTGATTAGAGAGTTCTAACAAAAGTTTCCAAATATATTTTTAATATCAATATTGGTAACGAAACAGGAAAACTAGGATCAAAGACCTACAGCAAAAAATGTCACCTATCTATTAGATGTAAGGATTAATCAAACAGCTGACAGAAAACTTGTCGAGAATTTATAAGCAAACAATAACTTTATATAGGAAAGACAAGTTGATACTTGAAAAGTAGGGCGTGTGAAAAATTGATTGTCGTACATAAAAGTGAAGATAACTGAAACATCCTCCGGAAAAGGTTAAAATGCCGTCCTGAAATCATATCAATCATAAATGCCAAAGTGTCATATCCTTTTAGGATTCTCATCGATTTTCTAATATATATATATACGGGTGATTCTACAAAAGTTGGACAACTTGAAGTCATCAGTCAATAGAGTAGGTATTTTAATATTTTTTGTAAATATTTTAGTATATTCCAAAAGATCCAGGTTTTTTTAACTTGTCTTCCCAATTTTAATGTATATTTCAAAAGTACGTTTGTACAAAAACATAATAAATATTCAAAACATCAGTACCTTGGCGTGTCACAACTCCTGAATCAAATATTTGAGTGATTTTATTTTAAAATATATTCAATTTATCTTAAATTAGTGTCCTCGTTTTAACTCAAGTGTTGGTAAAAAATTACCTACAGAGCCCGCCTTTTGCACGATAGTCATCTTGAAAACAATGCAAGCGGCGAAGTTGTGGTGAATGCACGTATAGTGTCAGTCAAAATTTCAGTACTGTGGTGAGTAGTTATTTTCTTACGTATATATATATATATATATATATATTTCATTGTAATTTATATAAGGCTATATGTGATTTGTTGAAAAGTAGCATCCACTAATAAAAAATATCAGTAAAATACTTAATTCCGAATTATAATCTCAAATTTGTATCCCATTCATCAGTACCGTGTCGTCAGTTCCATGTTCGATGTTTATCTTTTTTTCTTAAACTTCAATTTAAATTCTGCTTACGCAGAACTTGTTTATTTAATGTCATTATAAACTCATATAAATTTGGTGTGGGTCCCATATCTAATAATTGAGATATCGGTATACCCAAAATCCACCAGCCGCCACTGGATGTGTGGTAAGTATTATTTGATTTTAAGATATTTAATGTATAATATGCTTAAAGTTGCAATAAATCTTATATTTTTCAATAAATTATTATTATTATTTAATTCTTCCCTTGCATTTAAATTTAGAAAACAGATATTTCGGAAACTGTTTGAAAAGTGACTGGCCCGGTCTGGAATAGTATATTTATTATATTATCCATGTTCTCATAACAAAATACTGTTTAATTTTCTCCTATATAAACAAAATGAGGTCAAAAGTTGCCCAACTTTTGTAGAATCACCACAATATTCCTTGTTTCCTGTTTTCCGAAGTTTTTGGGACATAACTTTTAACTAAAAATTAACTTTAAAAAAGAAATGTAAGTTGTCTGAGACAATTTGCATGCATTTTAATGGTCACATCTTTTTGCGCCTTAATGTATTCACGTTTTTAAGAAATTTAATTTTCCGATATAAAAAAACCCTAATACCAAATTTTTTGTAAAAACATATGTTGTTTTTTCCAAAGTTAAAATCAACTTTGACACGCTCTATCTTGGTTATTATCAACTTTTGTATAAACGTAAATTTATTAGTTATATGCATTATTTTGCTCTCAGGAATATGTGGTATTGTATTGTACAGACATTTTAGGGAGACCTTTTATAAACACCTTACGTTATTTACCAAGTTGGCTGTTTTTACTTGGGTATCGTTTTAATTATTAGTTTATAGCCTAAAAACAATTTTGAACAATTTTTTTTCTTCCTATGCCACTTTTTTTAAATCAATTTTTTTTGTTTATTTTATTCAATAACTTACCAAATATTGTTGATTGTCGTCAAAAATTTATTTCGTAAATTTTTATCAAAATTAATTAAATACCAATATTTATTCTGTATGTAATGTTATTTTTTTAAGTATACGCTTATTTATTTTATTTTAATAACAATTTGTTGTGCATTCTTGGTTGCATAGTATTTACCGATTGCGGCAAAGGCAACGTCTTCAGACGCTGTTGTCACGTGATGTTCTTACATCTCGCCTAGGCTGACTTACGTGGATAGTATATAAGCTCAGGTAGTCTTTTGTTTTAGATGTTAACGTAAAAGTACATTAAATCAAATTACGGACAATCTGAGAAGCGTTTTATTGGAAACTGACGAACGGTTCAGTAAAATTACAATTTGCGTAAGACAAATAAAAATTTTTGGTGATATTA